TCAACCAGCCTGGAAAATTTTTTCTCACCAAAAAGGCGGGAAAATATTTTCATCAAAAAGCCGGAAAATGCACACGTGTGGGCTAAACCCGGAAAATATTTTCCGTGGAAAATTTCGCCTATCAAAAAAAAGTGGAAAGTGGAAAATATTTTCCTAGTTGCCTGGAAAATAAGGCGTATCAAACACGCCCTTAGTGATGTTTAGTAAACTATATGTGTAGAATGTCTAAAAACAATTATGCATTAATCACATATTTGAACAATGTGCATATTTTAATTAATCTAAAATTTGCATCTGAAACATTTTGTTGATTTGCAAAATTGCCAGTAGCAGATGTTGGCAGGTAGAAATTGGACTCACTTTTACTTCTGACTTCTTCATAGTTTTAATCATGTATTTGTCATCATGGGTCAAGTAAAAGAAGCTTCCGCTTTTTCCAGGGGATGACAACTCTCGAAGGGCATCATTTCCACATATAGATATCATGTAGTCAGCTGGATCCACCTTAAACAATTTTCTCAGAGTCCTAAAAGCATAATAATCACATTTAATCAGCACATCAATAAAGTATTAGACAAAGCATGCTCAGAAATGATAAATGCTCATTACTACATTGAAAGAGCATAAAATCTCCTTTAAAAAAAAATAAACAAAGGAAATGAAAAATGCATCCTAGAGCTCCTTGAGGAAATACTTCCGTATAAAAGGCGTCGCCAGTCTAAAAGGGGAGAGATTAAGCAAAAACTTCAGAAACAGTTCTGTTAATACATTGGAAAATGATAATTGATGCATCAATGACTTACCTGAAAACCAATGGGCAGTAATCCTTCCATTTGAATTCGCATGATTGGTGAGGTGGAGTATGTTTTGAGCCTTCTGGAGGAAATCTGGTCCATATTTTCTCCTTCGGATCAAATGCTGCATCTTTCAGATCAAGGGACATAGCTGGAGCTGGTCTTCCTACAGCATGTCTAAGTAATGGTGCCAAATAATGAGCTACAAAGATGTAAAACAACGCAAATAGAAAGAAACATAGATCTGGCAACACCATCACAAAGATTACAAGCATTCGTTTGATAAACAAATTAGGATGGGTAATTATAATTATCAACATGTTTTCTTAGGAGATAAATTTATTTTTGATGTTACACAAGCAATTATTTACATTCAAAGTAACAAAACAAAATGGAAGGGGTAAGCTTTTACAAAATGAAAGGGGTGATGCATAATATTGATAACAAGAATAAGATGAATGAATCCAAGTGCTTAAAGCACACATACTATTGATTCCAAATGGATAAAGGCTATTATCTCTATTTAACCTTGTTTGAGTCATAGAGATAGGTTGAAAATAGGCCAAGATTTATTTATGCTTAAGATGTAGCAAGAGCCATCTAAAAGTTGACATAATTAGCAAATGACATACAAAAGAATCCCAAAAATTATAAATACAGTTCATCTAACTCTATTTAAATCACAGCCAATATGATTTACTGTTCCTTTTTTTCCCTTCCAGTTGCGCCAAAATCAGGATTCAAGGCCAGAACACAGAGAAAAGTAAATGTTTTTTGTAAAAATAACAGTGAGAAGAAAAGACACAACAAATCCAGAGGAAGTTGATACCTTATTCCAAGCTGCAAATTTAACATTAGCTCATAGTTCTTATGCCCTTTAGATATTGTAATTCCCTGCCTTTTTGTGGGCTTTATTATGATACGAGGCTGGTATACTGTCGACGCATCAACTTCTTTAGCCCCTGATCCTTCATTTAATTCTCTTCCAGATCCTGAATATCCACTAAATACTTCAGAACTCAAATCAGATTCTGAGCTTAAACTATAGCTACCATCATTGCTCAGCCTCCCATCTATAGATGCTCTCCTTGGCCTTGCATCATTTACTTTAGGAGTTCTCCGCCCCAATGACTCCCCTTCGCAAGGCCAGTTAACCATTTTCTGCGAAGGAAATACCAATACTTTCTCACTTACAGCAATTCTACAATCTCTCAAGTCCAAAAATACTTCCTCAGGATCCCAGTCAAAATTACCCATTTGTGAAGTTGAGGGATAATAAGTCCCACTCTGCTCAGCCTTACTCCACACACCAACATAAAAACTCCCATCAGCCCATCGGAATGTCCCATTTCCTTTAGGCAATCCAACCTCCCAACTACCATCATATCGATTCCCATTAGCCCACATCATGGTTCCATTGCCATTCGTCCTCCCAAGCCTCCAATGCCCAATGTATTGGTTCCCATTGTTCCACACATACCTCCCCTGACCATCAGGCTGCCCACGACGCCACGCCCCAGCATAATAGTCTCCATTTGCATAATTCTTTGTACCCGTACCATGCTTTATGTTCATCACCCATGTTCCTCTATATGTATCATTTGAAGAACCTGTATAGCTTCCCTCACCATTCATGTACCCATTCTTGAATTGGCCCTCATAAGTCGCACCGGACGGCCAACTAAACTTGCCTTTCCCCATTGCCTTGCCTTTGCACCAATCACCAACATACATACAACCATCAACCCACAAGTACTTGCCATGGCCATTAGGACAGTTGTCTTCCCACTGCCCTATATACACATCCCCATTGGAGAATACCTTCTCAACATGATAAATCTCTCCAGGGTTATGAGTTTCATCATCATCCACATGGGCCACTGACATTGTACTGAACATGCTATTTGCCCTGTTTTTTACAGCTGCTTGTGATTTCTTCACCTTTGCTTCCCAAGCCTTGACAATGCCCCGCAATTCTTTGCTCATTCTCTTCTCATGAACCCACCTTTTTCTCTCCTTCTCCCTCCTTCCAACCTCAGGCACTCTCTATTTCACTATTTTTCCCTAACCCAACTCAATTTTCCTTGTATCAAAAGTTTCAGCATGAAACACATACCAATAACCATATTTCCAAAAAACTCAGAACACCCCAACAATGTATAGACAAAACAAAAGCAGCCAGAATCACAACAAAGGTTTTGTTTCTATTTACTGTGTGGGGCCTCTTCTATACGATTTTTGAAATGGTTGTTTGATATTATTGATAGAACAGGCGCCGTTAGATTGTTCAGAAAGAAACAAAATGGGGTGGAATACGTTAAACGAAGAAGAACCCAAAATCAAGAAAAATAATATACGCCTCTTTGTTGAAATTGTTATTAAAGATTTTTGAAAAAGAAGGAGCTGTTAGATGGACAGGAAAAGCAAAGAGAGAAAATTTTTTTGATTTCAATGACAGACCTTTTCTATTGTTAGATGATTCTTTTAATAAATTATATTCTCTCTGTTCTTTATTTTCTGAATCAATTTTTTTTCTTTTTTAGTTTTGTTTAGTTGATTGACCGATAGCCAAAGATTCAAGATGTAAAATTATTTCTTGGTTCCCGGATTTGGCTCCTAAATACGCTATGACACCAAACAAATGGAAGGGTGGGAAGGCACGTTGGGTGCAATTTGTTTGAGATATCCAGCGTGCCGTCACATAATTGATAAAAAAAAAAAAAATTCAACACAATGATTGTCATTATTAGGGGTGTCCAAAAGTCCCGAACCGAACCGGACCGAACCGAACCCGAACCGAACCGAGCGGTTCTTCATAAATTAAATACCCGAACGGGTACCCGAATCGAGAACCGATGGGTTTGGGTCGGGTCTCGGGTCTAGACCAAGAACCGAAGAACCGAACAAGAACCGAAACTAAATAATTTTTTTTGACATATAACATGCCATAAAAAATGAAAAAATTGCAACGCTAATCCCAAACCGGCATGTTTAGACAAAGCCTAGGCATAGATATTATTAAAAAAATATTTTCTTATTTTAATATTATTTTTAATTTTTAATCAATTTAAAAATTATTTAATAATTAAAATAATATCTACCAAACATCTAAAATTTTATATTAAAATAAATAAATAAAGGCACTCCTAGTCCGGAAGCAAGAAAGACGTTTTGCCCATGCATCGCGCCTAGGCCCAACTTTTAGAACATGTGCATCATATACAATAAGGTTAAGGATAATTAGATTACCACTACAAATTTTATTAAGTGGACCACAATTTTTACAATTTTTCTTATTTACTTAAATAGCCTCAAGTAAAATTACATCATTAGGTTTTTATTACACTTTTTAATAAAATAAATAATTGTTCCACCACAAATATAAACCTTATTTTGTATAGTTGCCGAATGCCTTCATGATACCACATGCAAATGAACTCATCAATTTGTTTAATCTTTCTTTATGAGTTTTGTTTATCGATGTTGCTGGAAAACGTGGTTAGAAAAAATAGTAAAAAGTTATGGTATACGTGAAAATGATTTTTTAATTATTTATTGTTATTATTATTATAAAAAATAAACTAGAGCGATTTTCATGCTATGAATAAATATGTTTTTTGTACAGTCCTGTCTAAAATTACACTTTTATTTGATTATGACGTTAAAAGAAAAAATGCAAGTATGTGTGTTATCTATGCCTAATATTCTTACTAGATCATATTCCATTACATATTGCCTTTATTCCTACTTTGTGGTATGAGTGAATAATAGTGTGATGTAATATTAATTCTTACTCCCTTTTGCGAGTCAAAAGCCAGTTGCCTAAATGCTTACAATATTTTCTATCAAGGTTTTCAATTTATCAAAGTTTTAGCTCCACGTATTTTACTATTTGCAATGTCATAAAAAAATTGTAGTGCATAGAATTTATGCCTTGAAGAATTCCTACGTGATTTTAATGAGAAAAATTTGTTAAGGCTGTGTTTGACAGCACTTCTTTTCCAGGGAAAGATTTACCTCATTTTTCATCTGTTTGATGCCAAAATTCTGCCAGGAAAAGTTTTTCCAGCAGCCACCCCACGCGCCACTTTTTCCATGAATTTGATGAAAATCTTTTCCTTTGGTTTTGTTGGTAAAACTTTTTCCAGGTTTTTTTTTTTTTTTTTTTTTTTTGGCAATTGAAAAAAATTCTAGACACAGTGGTGAAAAAAATTTCATTTTTATTGACAATTTCCATATAAAACAAAATCAAACGAATGGTATTCGGTATGATTATTTTTTTTTTCAATTTCTTTTTTTTTTTTTAACTTTTTGGCAGTGGAAACAAATTTTATAACCAATTGTGAAAAAAATTATCAATTTAATGGATAATTTCCATATAACATAAAGCCAAACGAACACAAAATTTAAAAATCTTCCGAGTGAAAAATTATACAAATCAAACACACTTAATTAACAATTCCTTGCAAAATATTTTCTAGGCAATTATTTTTCCTGAAATTCATTTTCTTTCCACCCATTTTCCACCATTGCAATCAAACGGACCCTAAATATTTTACAACTTCATTACTATATTTTCACTATTAATATTATATTGTTATTTAAGCTTTGTTTGAACCCTATATTTTTGTTAAAATGAATTGTTTAATAGTGATTTTTTTTGAAGAATATGTGGTAAAAATAAAAAAATAAAATAAATAAAAAGATAAATTGAATTTACGTGCAAAATTATTTTATTGGAAGGATATTAGATTAAAAATAAGTTCGAGGAAAAATATTTTTTTAGAAAATGGAGCTCAAACAGAAGCTCAGTTAAAATACCAATATTCATGAAGCTCATATATCAATTTTTTCAACTTCGTGACGAATAGTTGAAACAGGGAAATAGAAAACGAGATAGTTTGAAGAAAATTTGAGCCTGCGTGTCGAAATGAAGACTAAACATTAAAAAAGATAGTGAGTCTTTCTAATTAAAAAGGAAAAAGGCTATTTTAGATTCTGATTCTACAGTTGGGGGCAGGCACGGTTTACATGGTGATCGTGCCTGCCTTGTCCATTGGAATTTGGATGTATGTATGTTATTAGTTGGAATTAAAAGGTGACTATTTTCTTGTCAAGTAGGTCACAATTCAACTATGAATTATGATTTAATAAATGATGATGGATATCATATTACACGTTTTCTGATTTTATATTTAGTTAAATGTTTTGTGTTGTCCGAAAATATTATTTTTTTTATTGTGCTTCAAGTTTGAAAATATATATATATATATATATATATAAATAAACATTTTTACCAACAAGAAGTAACATAAAATATTATGAAAATTTACAGTTGGGTCCTCAATATATGGCAAATATGTCCTCAATGTTCTTTCTTTTTCATCTAAGTCCTCAATGTTTCAATTTTGTAGCACTTGTATCTGGAGTTAACAACTAGTTTTTTCAATTAAAAGTTAAGTGGTCATATTTTTGTTAAAAGACAACTTACCATTGGCTGATTTATTGAAATTAGAAATAATAAATAGAAAAATAATAAAATACGAATTAATAAAAACCTCAATTTCTTATCGCACATGAGGTAGAACGCTAGATGTGAGGAAGGATAGGATTGATTTGTACAACACAAGATGAAACGCGTGGGTAGTAATGGTCAATTGATCAATTCGTTTAGTAAGGGCTGCCACCTGGGACACCGACTCGTGGAGTTCATTCTTCAGTTGGTTCACTTGTATCTCAACAGCATCCAATTTCACCTCCACCTCAGTCCTCTTCACCTCAGTCAGTAGGGGGCGTTTTCTCACGCGGTGAAGAAGAAATCGTCTTCATCTAATCTTGTCGGCCAACCAATGGAGCCTCTACGGAAAAGGATGAAGAAATTCACGAATCCTCCTCCTCGCAACAAAGCATCCAATTTCCTTGGGAGTAAAGAGGACGAACTCTCCGAGGCCGTTCTGGAAATGCTACATCCTGAGACTGCCTCCGCCGCCCAGACTTAAAACAAATTCTGGATTGAGGAGTGGCAAACTCATGTTGCCTTTTGTGAGATATAATCTCTGAAAGCAGAAGTGAAGACAATGGGTGAGGTGTCTGTACAGAACTACATTGACAATTTAGTTAGGCATTTGTGGTCTCATTTTGATTAGAGCCTTGATTTTTTCTGGATTTGCCTCAATGCCTCTCTGACTCACAACGTACCCAAGAAATTTTTCGAAAACCACACCGAAAGCACATTTGAGTGGATTCATCCTCATCCTGTATCTTCTCAAAATTTGGAAGGCAGCATCCAAGTGTTTTATATGATCCTTTGCTTGGAGGCTTTTCACCAACATGTCATCCACGTGAACTTCCATCATTTTGCCAATGTACTTAGCGAACATTCTTGTTTACCAACCTTTAGTAGGTAGCTCCAACATTTTTCAATCCGAAGGGCATCATCCTATAACAGTACAATCCTCTATTTGTGATAAAAGAAGTGTTGTCCTCGTCCGTTGGGTGCATGGAGATTTTGTTATAACACGAATAAGCATCCATCAAACTCAGTAGCTCGTGACCTGTAGTAGAGTCTACTAGCTGGTCTATCCGAGGGAGCAGAAAACTATCCTTTGGGCAAACCTGATTGAGAATGGAGAAGTCAATGCATACTCTCTATTTGCCGTTGTGTTTCTTTACCAACACATGATTGAATATTCACTTCGGATAGGTGGTCTTCCTAATGAAATGGTTAGCTACAAAATGCAGTGTCCCCATTTCAACAGCCAGGTGATCCTTTTTCTCGGAATAATGTTATCCCCCATGAATCCATATAAGGGAGCGGTCATAGAAGTGAGTCTATGAATCCATACAGGGGAGCCTCCCGACATTCGCTTGTATCATAACCATAGAAACGGTGGAAAGTACAATAGGGTCGCACTTCCTTATGGTGCCTATTTTTAAGCTCTTCGCCCTTCCTCTATTTCTAGGGTTAGGGGGTTTTCTAGATGTTC